GAAGAGTGTCTGTGATCTCTCTTTCTCTCTCTCTCTCTCTCTCTCTCTCTGTCTCTTTCTGTCTCTTTCTGTCTTTGATAATTTGGCTTAAAAACAAAACAACTATCCCTATGAATTTATACAAAAGAAACATTATATACTTTATATAACATATTTCAGATATTATTTATTATATACTGCATTGAATATTGAAAATACTGTACAGCACTATAGTATAAGCAATATTGCGGTTTATCCATAAATATTAAAAAAAAAACTACCTTTTTATGGTCGGTACCATGTGTGTGAATATAGAATTTTACCATTTGCATAAAATTCCTTTAATTAAAACTTGGGGAAATAGATACATCAATATATCGTTAGTTCAACAAGAATGAACGCTTAGACGTCGTCGTCTTTTTTTACAGGAAATGGCTACATTGAAGGTACGGAACTGGACGCCTTTCTACGGGAATTCATATCGAGTGTGAACACTACAGAAACGGGACCAGAGGTAAAGTGATCTATCGATCATTTATTGAACCGTTGACTATACTGCAAAAATTTTATAAATATAAACCGACTGGATAAAAAACTAAAACAGAAAAAAAAAGGAAAATTACCCAACAGATTCTGAGACAATCTCTTTTTTCCGATCAATTCACTGTCCTTTTGATGACAACCGATCAATGTTAGGCAGTTGTTTCCTGAAATAGGACTACGTTCAGACATTATTGAGGGATTTGATTAATTTGCTGCTAATGTTATTTGTAATAGTAAATTGACCTATTAATTGCGACTAAACAGAAAACTTACAACTTGAAAATCTTAAAAAAATGAAAGGGATTTGATAGAAAATCAGTAAGAACAAAAAAATACAAAGATAGGCAAATAGATAAATAGATAGATAGATTGATAGAGAAGTAGAAAGACAAATACTAAAAGAAAGAGAAAGGAGAGAGAGACAGAGAGAGAGAGAGAGAGAGAGAGAGAGAAGTATAAAGCACAAAAAATGTATATTGTACTTGAAACCATTTCTACTATTCTTTAATTAAACTAATTATTCAATTAGTATTATTCAGTTTGTTTTGCCTTAATGATATAAGAGATCTGTTGCTTAGACCGTTGAATGACAAGTACATAAGACACATACTGTCTAAAGCAAAGTAGAAAGAAAGAGAGAGAGAGAGAGAGACAGAGAAAGAGAGCATATGTGAATATTTAACGTGACGTGTCATAAATCAGTGGAAATAATTCTACCGTGATGTAGACGTCAGCCTTTACAATTTACCTTTGCTTATTAGCAGCATAGCATATTACGAAAGAAAATAAACGGTTTAAGATCATTTTAATAGTCATACACCAATCGCTAACAGAAGAATGGTTGGCAGTTAAACTTTTGTAGTCATAGGAAAGAGAAGATGATGGGAAAAGAATTTATAAAAATTAATATTTAGCATTCTAACAAGAGAGCTGTTTGATTTTTTGTCAAAGGAATTAAAAAAAAAGGAAAAGCAGAGTAAAGAGAGAAAATCCATTAGATTATTAACAAATAACTTAATCACTCTTCTCATAACCGAATAAAACATACAAATGAAGATACAGAAATGCGAAGAACTGTAATTTACAAATTATATTCTAAAAGGTGTTACCCGCCTCTGTTGAAAATCCCTGCAAGCTTTTTACTACTCGGCGGACTGTATACAGCAAAAGTCAATTGTCACTTGTCGATTAATTGAAATTGTGTTGATTTTATACCTTTTATCTTCATACTTATTATCTTTTTGTAATAGGCAACACAAGGTCTAATGGAAAGATATTAACTGCTTCCTTTTACAACTTACCTCCCAACTCTTGTTAAATTAACTATTTAACACTAATAATTATGATAATCTCAACCATTTTTTTATACTTTTGTCGATGTTAGGAGTACTTTTTTATAGCCTTCTACTCCTCCATATTCATTCTAATATACGAGTGTCACGTGATAAAAAGAATTGCAATTAATGCGAGTAGGGAGTTTGTTCGATGTTACTAAATCAATAGTTTTGATTCTGCGTACAATCTTACTAAAAGCTTTTGAACACAAAATAAGAAAACCAGCCTATTCTGAAGTCTTATACTAACATCTTTATTGTTTAATTACTTGAATTATTTAACACAATCAAACGAAATTTTTAATTAAATTATTTATAGTAAAAATTGACCAAGGAAATCTTACACACATACACACACACACACACCGTTGTACAGGTATATCTTCTCCCTATTAGCACGTTTTTATTAAATTGAAACAAAAGAAATGACTGAGGTTGCCTTTGGCTCGTTAGTTGTTCAAATGTCTAGTAACTAGCGTTTTGTAGAAGGGGGCGAATAATAAGAAAGAGAGAATAACACACGTATTTCGTCTCCCCTCCCAAGCCTCCCCGCCTTATTTTTTAAGTACAAAGTGATATTATACTCGCAAATGATAAATAAAACTATACTTAAAATACATGAACTCATCGTTCATCTCTTTTTCATCATCGCTTAAATTTTGCAGGTAATCTCCGATACTGCATTTGCTCATCTTAAGAAAATCTTTATGGACGCCTTCGACGAGAATGACGACAATCGAATTGAAATATCTGAGGTAAACACTCACTATTAGGCGAATAAATGAATTATACAGTGAATCCAACATTACTATTACACCATGGTATTAATGTATAAAGTAGATTCAATAATACTTATATAAAAGTGATAAAATCTATAATTACTGAATTAGAAGAACTGATAAAATCCTTTAATTCATTTTTATCATATTATTTATTATAAGAGGATTATATGATATGTAAGCGTAGAGTTGAGATCTGTTAAACTTGAAAATTGATCGCTTTTAAGCAAACAATATGGTACAATATAGTTTTTAATATAAAATTGAGTAATTAAATGGTTAAAGAGAGCTCTTTCTCTTAAGAGGAAAAAGTGACAAATGATACTAGGCTATACACTGTACAAAATATAATATTACTACTGCTATTATCAATATATAAAATGCCTTTATAGTTTTTCTCTTTTCATCTCAATTCCCTTGTCAATCCGCCCCAACGATCACATTTTCAAATGATATCAATAAGAGATAATTAATGGGAAAATGCAACCAAATAGCTCGAAATCATTCTCTCTACTTTGTAATATTACTTTTATCAATAGTGGAAACGATTATTATAATTCTTACTATCTATAAATTTATTAGCCTTTGCTTCTTCTATTCTTTACCACAGATGGCCCAAATTCTACCGACAGAGGAGCACTTTCTATTACTTTTCAGAAAGCACAACCCACTTTCTTCCAGCGTTGAATTTATGCGAGTTTGGAGACAATTTGATAAAGATTGCAGTGGCTATATCGAAGCTGACGAACTAAAGGTCATCTATCGTTTCCATTATATTACCAATATTATTATACAGTACTAATATACTGTATAAAGAATCAGAGTAATATTTGATGTATCAATTCGTTTCCCGTTTGATTAGGATTTCCTTGAACATCTGTTAAAGGAAGCTGACAAAATAGAGGATGTTACCGATGAAAAATTAATTGAATATACTTCAACAATGGTAAGATTTTTTATCTCTCTTCTATATCTTTTTTATTCCATTCATTGTATAAAAAGAGAATTATATAGGCTTAAATACTGTACATATATACAATATATATATATATATATATATATATATGTATATATAATTAAGATCTTTCTAAAAATATACAGAACATATCTATAAAGTAGCTGTTTTCTATTTTCCCGAAGTACGTACAGCAACAATTATTACACCAAAGTAGTTTAGATAGATGTGAAAGGTAAAAATAGAAACCTATGAATTAGTAGTATCTTATGCTTAACTAGGACATACAATATATAAATATGTATATATTTATATATATTAGTACACATTGTAACGCTATTATTGAATTAGATATATGACTTATTATAGTAATGAAAATTATTAAAATTGTAATGAAGCGCATCGTTGAAAAAAGTTTTTTTTTTATTCTAATATTATTAATAATCTTTGCTAATTGCTTTACCCTTTCAATAGCCCCCTTTTCTTTCAATTTTACCATTTGCCAATTCATAGATAAATCTAAAAATAGCTTTAAAATGCTTATAACTGTGCTTATAATTATTTTTTTTGTATTCCCAATACGAAATTAACGATTTTTTAATTAACTCTTTTAATTATATTGTTATCGTATAACGACAATATTAACTCTAACTCTATTATGTTTTCTTTTTTGGATTTTTCATTCCTTTCCTTTTAGTAATTAGGAGAAACAACTCTTTTTTCTTTTCTACATTTTATTCCAACACCCCCACCCAGCCACCCACTCACTCAATTCTATCTCTCCCTCGCTCCCTCGCTCTCTCCCTTTGCCACACACGCTCTACCTCTCTTTATCCCTTTTTAAATATTGTCAATGTCAATCTTTTAATGGAGCTATAATTATAAAAATTTACTTTCAGCTGCAATTATTCGATCAAAATAAAGATGGAAAACTGCAACTCAGTGAAATGGCAAAGTATAAATATATATATATATATATTTTATTGATTGCGTTTGGAAATATTATAAATATATTATTATTAATAAATTGATTTTTTTAGATTATTACCTGTGAAGGAAAACTTTCTTTGCAGACCGATTTTCAAGGTGAGGCCTGTTAGTACAACTATTTTCCAGTAATCACCTTTTACCTAGCAGATAGCACTTTTATTCAGTTAAAAATTTCATGTGCAAACATTTTTTTGAGCATTTTCTGTAAGTATTATGAAATATTTCAGAAACTTGGATCATTCTTGGTAAAATTTTATATACAGTACAGTATATACAAAGTTTTTTTCATCTTTCTTCAATATATCTTATACAGTGTATTGATCCAAAAAAAATATTTAAATCAAATATATAAAACCGTTATAGTGTCGGTGAACAAGGCTTTACGTGTTCATAGATTATTATCATATTTAACAAACACCAAATGACGTTGGAACCATACGGAGTAGTGACTCTGTTCCGTCCCGTAACCCATCACCCTCAACTCTTTCCGTTTCCCTCAAAAATGCTTAGTTAAAATGAATAGCTTTTTATTGTTTTTTTGCTTTTATATGACATAATTCACTTTTTCAGGGATCAAAAAAAATAACTGCACAAGATATTGACAGAGTCTTCAAACTGTATGATACGGTAATGATTGCCTTTTATTAATAGTAAAAAAGAGCGTCCTTATACTCGTCTTTCCATCATTTTCTCTTCTCTATCGCATTATTTCTATGTGTTTTCTAGTCAATAAAAAATATCTATTAGATATTGTTTTCATATTTCCCTTTCTCTCTCTCTTTCCATCTATCTATCTGTCTATACATCTTTCTGTCTTTCTTTCTTTTCTAGCTGTCTAGTTAGCCTTTTCCCTCCATTACTGGATGGTTGGTTTGTCAAATAATAAAACCTTTAGGAAAAGGGAAATGTTTGATTTTATGAAAAATTAATAAATCTCTATTGGTATAGGATAATAATGGTAGCATTGAAAATGAGGAGCTTAACGGATTTCTCAAAGATTTAATGGAATTAGTTCAACAAGACTACGATAGCGAGGATATTTCCATGATGAAACAGACAATTCTGGATCAATGGGATTTCAACAATGACGGAAAAATAAATAGAGATGAACTTACCATGCTTCTACTGCAACAATCTCACGACGATGAAGACGACGTCTAATGATCGTCTTTTGATTTTTAATTATCTCTTGCTTAATAATTTTGTTCTAAAATTAATTTAATTAATTTTTCTTAGTTCTTTTGCGCTTTCTTTCTAAAACTTAATAACCAACACTTTCCTATCCTCACTTCTACTACTAATTCTTCATATACTATTGCTTCTTCTTCCTCTTCTTACTCTTCTTCTTCTTCTTCTTATTCCTCTACTCTATCTTGAATATATTTCTTGTTCTACTTGCATGATAAAGTTAAATATATGTAATTTATCGTCATGAATAGCATTACTACTATTGTTATTATTATTTTATCTATTCTCCAATTCCAATTTTTGTCTATCTGTTTTTTATTATTAATCTTTCTCTGACTTTTCATACATTTAAGTATATGATCTATACTATACTATATACTGTATATAGTATGTTTTAAGATACATTTATGGTGAAAAACAAAAGCGAGCTGTTGGTTCATCTTTCCCTCTTTACTTAAGTTAGGGTTTGTCAAAGAGTTTTCCGTATTGTGGAGAACCTTTTTCTTGCTTCCTATAAAGTTACAGAATGTATCTTGTGGCGTTCATATATTGATATATTTTTCATTCAAATTATAATAAATACATGAAAATACGGTATATTATTTGTAGTATCAAACATTTCTTACATGATATTTGCGATAGAATCCGAATGATTATTGCTTTTGTCCCAAGCGGCTCCAACTTGTAGAGAGAGAGATAAAACTGCAGTAATAAGCTCTTGCTTAAGTAACATACACAGTATGCGCTACGTAGATAGCAGTGCGTTTGTAAATAGTATATGATGTATTGTATACTGTATATATGTATACAGCAAATTCAAAGCCTATATTGAGAAACCTTTTAACGACAGATGCTTTTTCAATTAAGAGAAAATACACCTAAATATGTGAATTTTTTGAGAAAGATACATAAATTCCCTTCCGGAACGGAACAAATAATTTTATTCTAATTTCCGTTTAAAATATTATAAAAGTAAAGCTTCACTTCTCAACTATCACAACTAATATCGTGGACAAAATGAGGACAATGAAATTCTTACTGGTTGGACTAGTTCTCTTCTCTGGAGCTCTGTCGAAAGTTATCAAAAGTAATATAACAATCTTTTGTCTTGTTTTCTTTTCTTTTATCGATAATTTTATAAATTAAGGGGAAACCTGCGGTGTACCTAGCTTAATGACCAACTTGGAGCAAGTAGAATCTATTAATATTCACAATAAGAAACGATCTTCGGAATCGGCTGCCGATGAATTAGAAATGGTAAGAAAGAAATAGCAATAAAAAGAAATAGAAAAAGCGGTCGCCTATTAATTAATTTGAATGAATATCCTTCATTAACAGACTTTTGACCAAGAACTAGCCGATAGAAGTCAAGAATGGGCTGACAAATGTATCTGGGATCACGGTCTTACTACAAATTGTAATGGAGATGCTATTGGACAAAATATGTACTTGTCTGGCGGTGGCGCAGCTTTTCCAAAGCTGAATATGACTGCAGTAGTTACTAGCTGGTATAATGAAAAAGTAGATTTCGATTTCACCTCTAATACTTGCGCCCAAGGAAAAGTATGCGGACACTATACTCAAGTTGTTTGGGCAAAATCTCATAAAGTTGGATGCGCATATGCGAAATGTCCATCGGTGGACGTTGGCCAATCGAAATGGGAAAACGTTATAATAGTTGTTTGCGATTATTCGCCTGCGTAAGCTTCTTTCTTTTCACGCAATTCACTTAAAACTCTAAAAAAGGCTCTTTTTTTATTTCATTTTTAATTATTTACCTTGATCAGAGGGAATTATAAAGGATCCGAGATCTACGCTAAAGGGACTCCCTGCAGTAAATGCGCTGATCAGGTCGAACAGGGTTACTTGTGCACTAACAATTTATGCTGTAAGTAGCCCTTAGAAAGTATACCCTAATACTATGTATTTATAGCACAGAGTGTAAAGATAATAAATAATAACATCTAAAAATAGTTACTCAATTAACTTGAACTATTTTACGAATTATTATTGTTATTCTTTCTTTTATTGTAAATTTTATTGATGGAAATTCTTTAACAGCTCCCTGCTTACCTAAAGATAATCCAAGTTGCAGTAAGTAGACATTTTTTCCCTCTTTACTCTTAATAATAACGATTTCTTTTTTGTAATAACGCTGTTTATTAAATTATTTTTCTCTATTGAATTACTCTATAGAATGTGAACAAAAGGCACCGTGCCAAAACGATGGAATATGGGATCAAGGTATTTGTTCTTGCTCCTGTAAGCCTGGCTTTTATGGAAAAGCTTGTGAAAATTCATGCGACTGTAAGGATTTGTACGTTGACGTTTGTCCCACATGGTCAGGATTTTGCTCCCAACCCGCATACGACGCTTTCATGAAACAAACTTGTCCTAAGACTTGCAAGTAAGGGCCCATTATTTATTCATTACTCTAAATAATAACAATAGCTAAAATAATCATTTATTAATCACTGCCATATCTCTTTTATTTCCCGTTTTTTTTTAAAAAAACAAAAGACACTTATGAAATTTTCCGTAATTCTTTTCTTTTTTTTCCCAGTAAATGCGATTTACCGGACGTATGCAAAGCTATCGCTTGAAAAGGTAGGCCTATACGGAGATATTATTCCTGCTGATATTTTACATTATTTATTCTTAACTCTTCTGCAATTTGTTTTTGTGTCTGGAAAATACAGCTATATAAATGAAATAACAAGCATTTATTAATATCGCTTATCTATTTATTTATTTATTCATTCATTCGTTTGTTCGTTAAACCGAATTTGACTTGAACGTGAATAAATTAATGTCGAATAAATATTCAATTTTTATTGAATTTTCATGTCAAAACTATATTCGAAAGATAGAAAGAAAAAAGAGAGAATTAAGGAGAATGTAAAATTTTCTTCCTCTTCTCTACTTATTTACTAGAAGCATGTTATTATATTGCCAACATTTTCATATGAACTTAGAAAGCATATAATACATGTTATTACAACAGTTTAATCATCAGAATCCAGGTTTATTTCCAAAATGGTCGATAGTAGCGCTTACGTCAATCGTATAAATTTGTTTACTTTGTCAATAAGAACTCGAAACAATGAATATAAGGACAATAAAGTTACTGTTAGTAACACAGTAAAATACTTACCTATACAATTAACCTCTGCAAAGTTTCTTTATTAATAGAAAGATAGAGAAATATTTTTAGAAGCGATTTTTCAAATTTATTAAATAAACTGGTAAAAATTTATAAAAGAGAAATACTTTATCAATATGCTTAAACATGTATATACTGTATATAAAATATATATATATATATATATATGATTATGACATATGACATCTATAACAAAAAAATAGCACTTGACCTGGTTTCATTTCTGTATTAAAGGTTTTATTAACATGTGTGTTCCTTTTAATCTTTATAGTATATATTATAAATATATATACACTTATATATAAATACTATTTATATAGTATATTGGAAAAAATACAAGACACTACTGCCTGCTACTTTTTCAAACTCCAAGTTCATGTTGAGTATCCTTAGGCGTCTCTCGAACGATACTTAGCTGTGGTTGAAGTGATTTACTTGCCATTTGAGAGACTGATGTTACGTTACTCAAGTCACTTATAGCGGAAAAATTGTCCTCGGGTAAATCAGGTGCGTCTTCGTGACGTTCGCCATTGGATAACAGAGGAGTAGCCGAATTATCGTGAATAGAGATTGATAAAAATTTTCCATTATTCAAAGGAATATGATGAACTGAACCGGAAGTTGGAATATCCATCTCTAAAACATTGCTGGCAGAATTCGATCGCCTCTTAAATCTCAAACTAGGTAGTGGAGTTGTTTTTAAAGTTCTAGAACTAGAATCGCTTTGATTTAAAAGATTTGATACAGATCTACTTTTTCTATAAGCCTTTATAACAGGTGCATAGTCATTGTTATTGTTATTATTTCTTACAAAACGATAATCTAGCTCCCTATCCATTGAAACATTATGACTAGAACCTGCGGGAGGATTTCTTACAGAACACTCCGAGCCAGTTTCCATGATGCTATTGTAAAATGGCTCCTCTTCGGGATATTCCAGTTTTACCGTTACAGTATCATTGTTATTTCTGCAAAGCAACATGATAAATAGAAGATAAATAAAGACGAGATCAAAGCAGACGCAGAAGAAGAAGAAGAAGAAGAAGAAGAGAAGGATGAGGGAAAAGAAAAAGTTTGGAAAGCAATTTTAACACTAGTAGTACGATAAAGTAAGTTTACCTATTCCTGAAATATTTCCAATAAATCGCAAAGGAAACGCCTAAAATCACTGCTAAGATTACTATTGTCGTTAATATTATTATTGGTAAATATCCTGTTGCTGGAAAGGGAACTCTTTATTATATGATCATTGACTGTAAATTAATCTATTACCCTTCGTTTCAGTCTGTCCCATTCTCGTACTTGTATCAAGTTTTTCGGTTGCAACATTGACCTCTTGGCTATGAAAATTTACTGATACGAGAATTTCTAGACACTTCTCTCTAAATATTTTGTAATTTCCGGCCGCAAATAAATACACCGGTTCAAACTCTTTGCTGGTGTTCAACTTGACGGCCTCTCCTTCAGTGAATACTATTTGACATCCGGTCAACTTGGGAAGGAAGAAGGTTAATTTCCATATGCCATTTGGTATTTGTAATATCGTTTCAAAATTGACTAATGGTAATAAGTGTAATCCCTTAGAAAGAGAATAACTTTTTGCCGATACTCGTTTGTACATTCCTATAGAGAGGGAAGAATGGTTATTTTATCAATATAAATGTTTTTCTATGCCACACCGCCTCCGTTTTTCTCTCAATCAAAAATAATACACTTACTATCAATGCAGAAAAATTGAAAATCGATTACAGAGTATCGGAAATTTTCCACCATAGCTGAAGAAAGACCGTCTTTCTCTATAACTAACTTTTTCAAATCTCCCACATAATCCGTAATATTGCAATTGGTTTTTCCATTACAATTTTTGTATAGAACTCCTAGAGATGCAGGAAGGAAATAAAAACAAGAAACATAATCAAGTTGGCTATGTAAAGTAGGCAAATGTAAAATAATTGGTACAGGGAAACTACTGCTATTATCAATTTATTCAAACAAGGTTATTCTGATTTCGGTTTCTGTCTCTTTTCCTCCCTCCCTCCCTCCCTCCCTCCCTCCCTCCCTCCCTCCCTCCCTCCCCTTCTCTTGCAATCATAGAATAAATAAATGATGACAGTATTGCATACACAATGTAATATTTAAGAACAAATAACTTTTAATTAGGATACACACCCGTAATATTTACATTCATTCTCCTTTGATTGTTAACTTCGCATCCCTGTTCTCCAATATCCAATTTAGCATATCTTATATAAATTGAAAATCCATTTGAACATTGTAGATTAGTTAAGACGCATCCGTTAATTTCGCAATCTAATACAAGGAGAATTAAAAAAAAAAAAGATAAGCTTTATCAAATTCAATTATTTATTGATAGGAGATTTGCAACAACTTATTTATGGCATATAAAACAAATCGCATTTATACGCTACTGGAGAATAAATAAACTTTTATGTACCGCCTAATCGAGGTGAGTTTACAGCATTAATTCCTAAATCAATTCCTTTTTTTCTCTTTGTTAGCTTTCCGTTACTCATAATAATATCACTATCGCCCCCTTTCTTTTCTCTTCTTGATTTTTCTCTACGACTACTATTTACCACTTTCTCCTCCTCCACATCCTCTTCCTCTACACTCTACTCATCTCCTTTATTTGTATTTTAAGATTTCATGATTCAATGTATACGATTTTAGGATACAGCAGAGTGATTATAAATCTCTGATTGTTCAGTCGTATACGCAATAACGATAATGACAACCTAAGTTATTATACTAATGTTAACTTACCAAGATAATAAGAGGTTGATATACAATTGGTATTGTAAACTCTGGTCCAGGCCGAAAATGAATATGAGATAAATATCAAAAATTTCAAATATCTCTCGACTAGATCCATAACCTTTGCTTTCTCTTTCGTGTTCTCCACCTCTCTCTCTCTCTCTCTCTCTCCTTCTTTTCTACTCTGTCTTTTCTGTCCTTCTGTCTTTTCTTTTATTTATCAATATAAGTCTTTATCAGATGGTCTTCGTCTACCTCCGTCTTTGTATGTCTAAAAAAAGAAGAATTAAAAATATAGGTCTATTTTTTAAGTTAAATATTTCAATAACCTAAATTTTAATGCCTTTTTCTTTGATAAAAAAAGTCATAGGAAGAAGAAGAAGACGATTTTAACAAAAACACGAATTAAAAGATATTATGAAAATAAGAGATAAGAGTGAAAAACAAAGAGAACGAAATCTTTTATGTATAAATTAACATAAAACAGTATTAAAAAGAGTGAAAAGTCGATAAAATTTATAGCTGTTATATAGATATAGGCTAACGTTTGATATTGAATATATTTGGTCGGGGTTTGTAGATGTTTAACAGGAAAACGAAATAGAATTCTCCCAAAAAACGCTTCTCCTGTCCTTACTAGTTTTGCTTTGAACATTTTTGTTTTTTATAAAAAACAAGAATCAATAAAATATTTCATTCATTCGCTATTGTCAGAACTTAGTCATTTTATTTTTATCACTATTTGTTAAATATATAAAACCATATTAAAAATACTATAAAAGGCAATCGTTTAAGTAGATTTTACTCGGTAATTTTCTCTATTTAATTCAATTCATCTATCTATGTATATATATATATATATATATTATCCTATCATTCCTTCCTTCCTTCCTTCCTTCCTTCCTTCCTTCTTACCAGCACCTATAAACACACTGACCTAAATTCTCTTTTGTTCTTGTCAATCGACTCTTCTATTAAAGTCACCAGTTGTATGGCTTGAAGAAGTTGGAATTATGCTGTACTTAATATCCGTTCTACCTTGTCTTTGATCCTCTTGCTTCATTGGCCTACAATGTATCCGCTTCGTATACTAAAATTTTTTTAATACTATCACGTAAAATATCATATAAAGAAGAGAGTAAAAATAGAATCGCAGCTTAAAAAAAGCGCCACCTATTGATTTTAAGACAGAATAAATATGTTTGAATCTGTGCATAATACTTATATTGACATTTTATTGGTAGTATGCGCTCCATCTGTACGAATTACGTGATCTTCAACAAACAAACAATAACTATAGATAGCCAACTATCGGTAGAGAGAAGAGTTAAGATAGATAGAAAGACAGACAGATAGACAGGCAGACAAACAGACGGATAGACAGACGAGCGCACGTATAGACTATTATGTAAAGTTTGAGAGAGAGAGAGAGAGAGAGAGAGAGAGAGAGAAAGGAAGAAGAAGGAAAAGACAGTGATTGAAAGAAAAAAGACAAAGATATAAAAAAAAACAAGTAATTAAAAACGAAAAGTTTGGCCAAATTTTCCTTTAGCTTTATTCGTTCTTCTTCTATCCCTTCCACACGAACTACTATCACCTTCATTAGCCAACATTTGAGTTAGATCAACTCTCTTCTTTCTCGCTTTTGAAGTGGTTTCTTTTGTAGTTTCTTTTACGGGCTTCTTTGGATCACTTTTCGATCTTCTTCGAACTATTGGTGATGGAAATGGGGAAGAGTCACTTGAGCTTTTTCTTTTTGGGTTAATTCCAGAATCGGAAAAAGGTGCTTCGGAACTTGGCCAGGACTGCTCCAATCTTTGGCGAACTTTGGTTAATTTAGTTATACATTGAGCTACTCGGACGTCTTTGACTTCTTCCGTATTGGTTCCCCTTGAATCGAATGCAATGCTTGGTGTATTGGTGGATGAATCGATTAAAGTAGGCTTTATAGGAGTTTCTTCAACAATAAAATCTAAAAGAAGAGGAAAAAGAAAACAAGAGATAACTGAATAATCCTTATCATTTTATCAATTAAAGCTGATCTATAGCAATAATGATTAGCCGCAAGAAGAGGTCTACCTTGAAAAGTATTAAACGAATTTCTTCTAGACGTTTCACTTGGAATGGAACAGAGCGAAGAGGATCTTATCCCCCTTCCAAAGGGCGTTTCCATAATAAGATTTCGACATTTCGACTCTGGCTCCGCTTTATACAATATTTTGGCCGATTTCAATTTTCTATTTCGCCCTTCTTCGTCAGACGGGGATGAATTTTCCCTTAATTCCCTTATTGTTCCTAAGCTGTTAGGCCTTTTAAGTAGAGTTGGATTTTGAGATTTAGCTTGTCGTTTGGTAGAGCAAAATAGTTTACTCTCGAGTATTGGAGGCCTTTTTTGACCTTCGCAAATAACTGTAGATAATAACAACAACAAATGAATCTTTTTCACCGGAAAGAAACTTTTTTCTTTCTTTCAGCATCTGAAAGTATTATACCAATTTTCGTCTGCAAGTTATACATTGTAAAGAATGTTCCCTTACGCTTGAGCGTATTTATCATTACTTCTCTCTTTTTTTGCCAAAAAAAGGCCTACTTTAGCTACTCCATTTAATAATTTTTGTAATCTCAAGAACATTAACGTTTTTTTTTAGCTTACCTTGGGAGATGTTCCTTCTATTCTTGAGCATAGACAATTCATCGTCCTTTCGGTCGCTCATACCTTGTTGTTTATCGTCCCGTGCAGTCTGGCGTTGTTGGCCTATATCGGTTGGTTTTTCTTCGAAATTACTTTTGCTGAGATAGGTATGGTTTTTATTAGAATGAGTTGAATAATCAAAATTATCGGAGAAATCTTTTAATATTCTTGGTCTATCAATTTGATTTAAACGGCATAAATCGGTTGGATTAGGATGATAAGAGATATCTAATTGCGAAATATCCGAAGAAAAATCTTTTATCTGTTCTTCTTTAAATTCGTCTTCCGGATAGTCAATTAATCTCTTTCGAAACTGATAAACGGTATTTGTTGCAACTGTAAATTTCTCTTTAATTTTCATTATAACAGCATTAAATGATATGTCAGTTTGACATGGAATTGATTTTGAAAGTTTTTGCATATTAACACCTGTTGATTTATCAGTAGTTTGTATTAACTTATCGGGTTTATCGTCACTTGTTAAATCATCTTGGGTCCCTTGACAGACTTTCTCAACTTCTTCAGTTTGTATTGATTCATTCTCAAAAGGATTGTTTCCAAGAAATCCAAGAACAGCTTTGCCGGGATAAAAACAAACATCAGTCTCTTCTGGCTCTAAACATTTGTATTGCAGTAGCAATTCAGTGCTCTTTTGCAGTTCGTCCTAAGAATATATGAATAAATAACTGGTGAGATCTCCCGTAGGGAAGAGATTTAACAGTCAATTGCTATTCGCTTTATGGTGGTTATTTCTTTTTTCATTTAATAGATATATAATCATTAGTTGGAGAAACTATTAGTATTAATTAAAACGAATTATTTATTCATATACCTTCAATAAAAGTAACTCAACTCCGCAAGTTTTTAGCAATTTGTCTATACTTTTCGTATTTTGAAGTAGTGAATCGATTGTTTGTTGGGTTGTCTTCTTTGCTTGATTAACTTGATACGGAGAGTTTATGGAATGTAATCTCGCCGTAAGAAGTTTTTGCTGTTGTCTTATTAGCGCTATAAGCTCGAAAGCTTTATCTTGTATAGAGTCTTCGGCATTTCTCAGTTTAACTTCGGTAGAGTTCAATACTATCATATTCTCCTGGAGTTCGCTCACCTTGGAACGGCACTCGGAGAGGAGATAATGAAAGAATGGAACATTTTTTGCGATAGTACAACTTAAATTTGATACTTCGTGACTTTGATGCTGTTGAAATGCGCAAAGTATGCATATACACACACGGCAATCATCGCAGTAGAACCTAACGTTCTCTTCTGCGTGTACCTTGCAAAGTACATTCTCTCCCAATTTATGAACTGTATGAGTAGAGGTAACTCTTGTCTTTTGATGAATGAACACACAATTAGAACAGAGCAACTTTGAACATTCCAAGCACTTGCTAACAGCCTGTTAAAAGGGAAATGAAAGAATAAGAAGACTTTAGTTTCAATTACTGGGGCATTGCTTCCCAGATTTTCGGTGCGTATTCGAACTTTTCTAGGAAATGGAAAAAGCACATTTTCCATATATTTAATCAGAAAACCAAATATATTGGAAACACTGAATTATATAAATATATACAGTGTACTTTATATAAGTATATACTGTATATACAGTATATATATATATATATATATAAATGAATTTATATATATAAAATGCGCATACTCTTGCAGACTTAAATGCCTGTAATACAGTATTTCAAAGTATATTTGCTGTATATTATACTTGTATTATAGCATACACTTAGACTTACTGAATTGACACTTTGAAACCTCTTCTATACAACTTTATATCTATATTTTTTTTATACTTAGCGTGGTCGGGAAAATTGATTAGAAATCTCTAATTATTCTTTCATTCTTGCCTCTGTTATTTGACAAATTCCGCAAATGTTATCTTTTTTCTTCTCTAGTACATCTGCTAAATTTGATAATAATGTATTCTCCGGTAAATTGGATATTCCTGATGGAGGTATATGAGTTTTACTTTTACAAATCGGACAGCTTAAAACGTACGTTGACTTTGAAGTTCTTCGCAAACATTTTGAACAAAAAGAGTGCAAACATGACAAAGTTTTTGGTTTTTTCATTCGCTCCAGACATAGTTTGCAGGTGAGTAACTGATCGGAGATTTCTTGCAGTAGATTCTCGCTGTTCGACATGCTTGGAAATACTGGAATTGGATATATTTTACGGCCGCATGCAGAAGTTTGCTGTTTGACGGGCGGAGATAGTAGATTGTAGTGAGTTTTCTTGATTTTTATCGTTTATTAAATTGAACAAATTTTAAAATTATCCGTTTCCGACAGCTTGTTAAATTTTTAATCAGACATTAAATTTAACATAATCTCCAAAGAATCCTATATATCTTTATATACTATAGGATTTCGCACCCGGCCTCTATAAGCCTCTGCAACGAACTTTCGACCTTCAGCAATCTAAGCGAGTGAATGTTTTCTTTTCTGTTTCTTGTAATAATGATAGCCGCCACGTTCTAATGAATATATTTTTCCATTTCTTTCAATTTATTCTCAGAATAACATTTGAAAGTTTAATTATTTATGAGAAATCTCTCTTCTTATAGTTCAAAAATCCATACACTAGAAGCAAATCGCAAGAGAACAAAAATTTACCGCTACACATGCGCACTAACCATTCATCTTTCCCCTTTTTAATTAAAAATAACAGCCATCTTTTTACACAAATACAAATTGAGTGACGTAATGATAAAGTACTTTGATCACTTAACCTAGCGAAGTGCATACTCTTTTTTTTTATTTCAAATAGAACAAAGACTCAGTGCTGTACACGGTAGCAATTTTTTTTCTATGAAAAAAGTAGTTCAAATAGAAGGCCTATCAACAAGATGGTTGAGAGACCTCGCTTGGCAAACTAAAGTTTACGATGGAATTTAATACTTCACACTCTATTCAGATAAATCTGAATAGCCGAAAGAGAGGGATAGAACTAGGAAAATAAGATACAGCCAAATTTCTAGATATTGATTATGTTATACTGCTTTTACAACCAAACATTATAGTAGATACATTTATGCATGTATTTATTGTATAGATACTGTGTAGATACTGTTTATATAAATTTATATATGTATATATAAACACGCTTATGTATATAGAGTTTATAAACACGTACTTTACGGCGCCGTACAGTGTTATCTAACCTCTTTTCAATTAGATTACTTGGCCGGGAAATTGCTAAAAGGAGAAAAGAGAAAAATCCGTTTAAATGATTCGCTTAGAATTTACTATTTGTCAATATTAAACATATTTTTGACTGATCAAATTTGACCTGTCTGGTATAATTCTCAACTTTTTTATACTGAAATTGACAGTATGACAGGTGAATATACAGTGAATTGTGAACCTAAAGATTTTAAGGTATAGAGCGCTATTTAATCTTAACAAAAACAACACGGGTCTTTTAGGCCATCATCAACCAACCATTCTTGGTTTAATAGCTGGAGAAACGACGATCAAATGAAACCATTCACATTTCTATTCTTCTCTGCCGCTACTCTTTTATGCTATGCATCGGCGTTTAAGGTGGTCTTACTACCAACGCCGTTTGTAAGTCATATGAACTATTTTGAACCTCTCGCTCTGGAGCTTCATCAATCTGGTCACGAAACCTACCTCGTACTTAGTGATTCGTTCCGGGCAAGGCAACGATTAACCGACAAAGGATTAAACATTTTGACTTACGACTCAAAAGGAACATGCGAAATTGATACTGATGACTTTTTCAAAAGAGTCACCATTGGAATGATAGATAATGGTGGTGATCCGGGTGTATTAGGAAAGCTTGTCGCCCCTGCAATTGAAAGTGAATGTTCAAAATTCCTGCTCGATATTGAATTACTAGAAAAAGGAAAAAAGATAGGATTTGACTTGGCAGTTGTGGACGGCCTATTTTTTGCAAGGTTTTATCCATTTTTTTCTCCCCTTTATCTGTGTTATTGAAAACAAAGAAGCAATAGAAATATAGCAAGAAATCGACCCATAGTTTATTTTCAAGTAATTCGAGGAAAAAAGATAATAAGAAACATAAAAATCTAGAAAAGATGGAAAAGAGAGAGAGAGAGAGAGAGAGAATGAAGGAGAAAATAGGAAGACAGAGAGAGAGAGAGAGAGAGAGAGATAGTAAATAGAGAATTAACAAATCTACCCATCTCTTTCAAGGAAAAATAAACAACTAATTGGCTTTAAATAAACTAAAGCGTACAGTCACCGCTTATCTTGTCGGATTAAATGTTGATATAAACATTTAATGCGTTCTTTTATATAATATATAAAATGTTCTTTAGCCGAACAAACACGTTAAGTTTTCACTTAATATTTTCATTCATATATAATTTACGCAGCAGCCTTCTCTCGATATTTAAGACTAAATCTAGTTTAACACACACACACACACACACATAAACTAAAGTTTATCACATTGTAGATGGCAGCACTTACGAATGCTTAAATTATTTTAATTAAATAAAGAAATTGTTTATTTTACAGATGTCTATACATTTGGCCGAAAGAGTTAAATATACCTTACATTACATTAACGACACTGCAAGATTTTTGGAGAGCTCGCGTTCCGGCACCTCCAAGTTTTGTACCATTTCATTATTCCTCTTTCGGAGAGCGTATGACTTATTTAGAAAGATTCGCTAACGTTTTTATGAGTGTATTCTTTGCTTTATCGACAACATCCCCACCACTCTCTCAAGTTATAAGGGACCGATATAAAGATTCGTCGGCAGATTTCGAAAGTTTAGCCACAAAATCAAAATTATGGATGTTTAATACCGATTTTTCTATTGATTATGCCAAACCAAGCTTACCAAACATTATTCACGTTGGTGGAATGAGCCTAAATTCTACCAAACCACTTCCGGAATTATTCGCCAAGTTTGTTGCAAAATCTAATAGAATAGTTGTTGTAACATTTGGAAGTGTAATATCCCAATTACCCAACTATATTGTTGAGAAAATGATTGACGCCTTTCGTCAATCACCTTTTCAGGTGCAAAACTTTTTTTTTCGTTGATCTTGTTTTTCATTCCATTTATTTATTCTAGTTCGTTTGGAGGTTACCCAAAGCAAAGGAATTTTCAATACCCGATAATGTTCTTGCAGTTGATTGGATACCGCAAAACGATCTTCTCGGACATGAGAAAACTGTTGCATTCGTTACTCATTCGGGCAATAACGGACAATTCGAGGCTCTCTATCACGCCGTTCCTATGGTTGCCCTTCCTATATTTGCGGATCAAATTTATAATTCATTAAGAATGGAGGCGAAAAATTACGGCGTTAGACTATCTATGCACAAGTTCACGAGCCAACAGCTTAAAGAAGCCCTTGAAAAGGTTGCTGATAACAAGGAAATTAAAGCAAATCTTGTTAAGGGTTCTATGATTCTAAGAGATAGACCATTAAATGCTAGAAAAAGGGCAGTTTATTGGATAGAACACGTAATAAAATACGGGGATAGGCACTTGAGGTCTTACGGAATTGATATGCCCTGGTATCAGTATCTGTTGCTAGATGTTGCAGTTGGATACGCGTTACTTTTCGGATTTCTTATCTACCTAATTAAAAGAGCATTCGTGTATGTTTCGGCTAATGCTCAAAATTGGATTGGTACAAGTAAAAATAAGAAAAAAACACATTAAATAAGGCAATTGTTTCTATAAAACTAGAAATATTTGCCTAATAACAATGTATCAGTGAAATGTATAAGAAAAGCTTGTTTCTTTCCATATGGTAAACCTTTATCTTCTCTCTCTCTCTCTCTCTCTCTGTGTCTCTCTATCTCTCTCTTTTTCCCTCTTTTTGTATATTTTTCATTATAGCATCATATTAATTGTGATAATAGTAGAAATAGCAATAAAACGGAGAGATATAAGAAATTGAGTACTTTGATCCACAGATATTAATACATCTAGTAAAACTAGTGAGCATTAGTAATAAATTAACTTAAATAGGTTCGCAGTGAGTCGACAGATAACAATATTTTTTATCTTTATCATACGAATATATTTCTGTTCACGTTAAAATGTTGGGATACAATGTATGTTTCGCTGTGGGGCTTATTTGCGTTATTCATTGCGGCTACAGCCCGTTAAAAATTGATATAGATAGGGAACTACCTGTTTTTAGTCACGAAGAGCTCAGCCAATACAATGGAAAAGATGTAAATATTTTATTAAATGTGTTATTAGAATACTGTGTGAGAAATTGAACATATTATATATTGTATATAAACGTTATCTCTATTTGCAACAGACAGAAAAGCCGGTATATTTGGCTGTTAAAGGTGTTGTTTTCGATGTTTCCGAAGGAAGACGATTCTACGGCCCTGGTGGAAATTACCACATGATGGCTGGAAAAGATGTTTCTAGGGCAATGGCTACCCAAGAATTAATGGACCAAGATATGACGCATGACGTTGTAAGTTGGCATATTTTTTTTTCTAATTTCTTATCTGTTACATTATATCATTATATTTTTAGTAAAATAACATTTATTTTACTTGAAACAATAGTAAAACTTTCTTTTTTGTTTCTATTAAACTATCTATCTGACAGGCAGGATTGTCGGATGATCAACTGCAAAGCTTGGATAATATGTTTACAAAGCTATATTTAACAAAGTATAAGAAAGTTGGTTACATGCAGTATTTGTTAGAAGAAAATGGTAAAACGGAACTTTGATGTTGACAATATTTCCTTTTTTCTTTTATTTTTTAAAATTATGACATTTTTCATTAATAAATTATAAGTAGACGTCTTTTTTTCTCCCATCTTAATTCGCATTTTATCGCCCAACCATATGAAAATTAGACAACAAATAACTTACAATGTACAGTAGTGTTTTGTATATAAAACGCTTACGATGATGATATTGTTATTATCGTAATAAGTTCTGTAAATAAAAACAACCATCTCCTACATCAGTTGATCTAGATTTAATTAGCCTCGTCTCTCTTAATGACACCTAATAATCTTACTAAGAAAATTATTAATTCAAATGATATGATGGAATATTTGTTGTATTACTTTGAAAATGATAATGATAATAATAGTAATAGGAATAATAGAAAACATTAGTGATTTGTTCAATCAACATGATAGAACTATTTCTTTTTATCAACAAAATTACAATTCTTTCGGTTACAAACAATTTGGACGCTTATATAAAAGGCCTTTGAAAGGCATTTCCCTAAACAATTTACTTTATACGGATCTTTCGAACTGTATACATGGCCCATTGTACAATAAGTTAAATACATCTAAAACTTAACCTTATTCTCTTCTTTTATCATGTATACAGAAGAAACAAAAACATTTTATTAGTATTTTCAACTAATACCTGTACTATAATCAGTTGACAAAAAATTCACTTTTTTATAATTAGTCATCGGAATCATCATAGTCATCATTATCTGAGGAATCTTCATCGTCATTACTTGAATTTTCTTTGCCCTCGTCTTCGTCGATTTTCTGCCATTGAGGATGATCAAGGACTTGCTTAGCTTTTTTAACATCCAACTGTGGTTAAGAAAACAAAAAGTGTACATAATTCTGCTTACAACTTTTTTTAAGAGTCGCATAAAATAATTTTTCTACATAAATTTCTGATATAAAAATCTTTACCTTTATTGTTTTGGTTAGGTCGAAACTCATGTAAGAATCGCTCATTAAACAAACAGAATAGGTATATACATCAGGCTTTGTAGGAGCCGCGAATTGTAACTCCACTTCCTCATAATCTTTTAAACTTTGAACATGCTTAGGCATAGAAATGAGCTGCTGTTTTTTTTTATCTGCTACGTATAGGTACCACCATTCGTATTTATCTAACGGATAATAGGGACAATGAACTAAATGAGTTTCTTTTGATTTAGTTTCAAAGGAATTCTCTTTCTTCGTTTCGTCTGAAAATTTTCCTACCCAATCCTCTTCCTCGTTATCGTCCTCATTATTTTCTTCAGAATCATTTGCATCATCTACTGAATCACTGTCATTGTCTTCCTTCTTTTTCATTGGTTTTGGTGATCTCTTTGCTTCTGGACTGTCTTCGGAATCGTTATCACTTTCATCACTTGCCCCACTCTCATTCTCATCTTTTTTCTTTATTTTATCTTTCGATGCTACCTCAGCGAGCTTTTCTGTTCTATTCACAACAGGTACAAGAACCGTGCGTGTTCCTAAATGTACAGAAGAAACAGTATAGTTTGAATAAAGATTTTATATTCTTTAAGATATTTTTTACCTGCTTTTCTGGGCTTTTTAGCTTTTTTCTTTTTCGTTTTCTGAGCTTTCTGCCACAAAGGTTTTGTTTTTTCATCAACTTTTTCCTTTTCTTCTTCCATCTTATCTCCAGCGTCTTCTCTTTTCTCATCTTCTTCATCACTCTCATTTGGTTCTAATGGTTTTCTTTCTAGAATCACACGAACTGTTACAATAGAATTTGCAGTAATTGAATTATCCTCTTCATCGTTAACGGCAACCTCCGCTTTTAAATCTATATCCGGCATTCTTGCGCAAACATTCATCACGTCTCTATTTAAAAAAGGAATAACAAAAATTTTAAACAATTAATTAATTAATTCTAAAAAAATATTAAGGTAATGGAAAAATTGTTAAAAATCTTACCTATATTCAGCATCACTTAAGGTTCTTAATAACGCTCGTCTTTCTTTACTTTTCATTTCTACAAATTGTTTAATTGTCTTTATACATCTACGTTTCGTTACAAAATGGGATAGCGTTTTTTCTGTTATATGGGGTAATTGCAGCAGAGGACTTTTTGTATCCCACAGGGCTTGAACTAACATTTGACAAATTTTTATACAATATTCAACAGTGTTCAATCTTGGAGCTTTATGTTGCATATCTGGCGTCGTTTTGAAATAACTAATAACTTGAGTAATCACTTTTATCATTTCATTGACCAGATTTAATGACTTTCCTAAAACGTAGTTTTTATCATTCTCTAACGTTGTAGGAGGAAGGGATATTCTACCCAAATGAGCGTGAATTAAAGCTCTAGCTTTCAAACTATAAGATAGATTAAATGGCTTTTCCTTATTCTTTTCATTAAGATTAGGTAATTCTTTCATCAATTGAGGTATTTCTATATTATCCGATTCTCTGTCAATGATATCCTTGTTATAGAATTTAGAAAATTCAAAGCTGCCGCCTAATATCATTAAAATTCTTTTCAGAGTCATATTAGGTGTTCTACTAAAAAATTGCCCATAAAATTTCATAGTGTCCAAAAGTACTTGGTCTCCACTAAATTGAATTGAACGATACCACCAAGTACCAACGACAACGGGTAAAATAATCATAAAAACGAGAGCGTATAATCCTAAAACCCACATAGAGTTTTGCTTTTCTACAATCCAGATTGGTAACGCAATACCAAAATTTGTAGCTGTAGGTCCATCAGGATTTCCATATTCCTCCCAATTCTTACGAGACTCTTCGTCTGTCAGAGCTGCATACGCTTTAGCAATTTTCATAAAAGTTTTGTGGTCTCCCCCTTTATCAGGATGGTGTTTTTTACTTAGTTTGCGATATTGAGATTTAATCTCCTTAACTGACGATCCCTGAAAAAATAATAATGAAATTATCCGCATTTAGAAAACTAAGAATTGATTAAAATGTATGTAATAAGGCATTTATATGTATATATTTACTCTTTCCAATTCCAATATTGTGTAAGGGTCATATTCGAATAGTCTAATTCAATTTGTGATGTTTTATAGGCCAGGAAAAGAATATGCTCCATCCAATTATTAACAATATAATGCTGTAAAAAGAGAAAGTGAATATAATTTCTATAATTATAATTAAGATTATTTTAGAATTGAAATGAGAAAGAAAACAATAATATAATTTTATATATTTTTTATCAAGTGGAGAAAAACACTGTAGCATTGTTTTTCTCATTCTGTTGAATATTAGAGACCATGGAGGGAGGGATTTTTAATTAAAATTACTAACACTAATGGTCGTTTAACTTTTGTTTGGTGAGTGGTTTCCAGTAGCTTCTCTTTATTTAAACAAGGTAAACACCTACAGTCCTTTTCCGAAACTTCTTTATTTCTAAAGAGAAGAACATGAAACATATTGTTTTAGAAAATCATCCATATTGATAGGTTTTACCAACCCTTTTTCGAATAAATAACCATCCATAATAGGTGGCAGGAATCAGCACCAAAACATAGAAAGAAATGAGGAAGTAATAAAACGTTCACCTTTTTCATCATATTCGAATTTCATGCCGGCCATTTTGATACGTGTTTAAAGGAATGTCTAAAAGGCGGGTGTGATTGAATGCAAGATGAACTGACTTTGCTTTTACAATGACAGATTGATACTGAATTTAACTTATATTTTCCTAATATTAAATAATAAAAACGTTTGATGAAACAAATATTATTAATTAAAATATATAATAAATCTATTTCATTTAAATAAATACTTTAAATATAAAGCCTTAACAATACTATTTTCATTTGTATTTATAACAATAACAAATAAACTTATTCGATATGGGTATACTATTTTAAAAGTTTTAAACTTATCTAAATAGTATTCAACTACCTTTTTCACTCCATGTATAGTTTTTAAGAAAGAGAAATAGTCTTTCCTGTAGTACTGAAGAAAAGAAACATTTTTTATTATATACCCCATTATCATTCTTATATACCGAGTGCAGAGATAAAAGAATGTATTGAACTTGAACCTCAACTCATACATATTCATTTTCAATTCTTATAATTATGTCAACCTAAATCAAAGTAGATATTTATTTAATATGTAAATAATTCGTTTGCTTATTTGAATTTGTGAGCAGTGCTATTTACCATCTTATTAATTCACTACTTTAAAGTAGTAATACTGCTCTTTATTTTCTCTTTCCATTGCCGGTAAATTGCAATTGCTTTCGGAATAGCTAAATACCACATACAATAAGATTTAGATAGACTTTTACATAATATAAAATAAAAACTGTAAAGTAAATGTCCAAGTGTACATTTTACAAAGAAAAATGCGATATATAATAGTCTAGATTATCTTTGATGATTTGATATGTTAAATAAGTGTGCTTAGTATATCAAAGTGTAATTTTTTAAAA